TAATTCTGTAGAAAGAAATTTCGTGTTAATTTAAAATTATGAACCAGTGATTGGATTAAAACTTGTAAACACAATTCTTTGTTGTTTTGAGTTTTTTCCCCAGTTTGACGTGACTTACATCACATCTGTACAATAATTTAGTGCAAATTCACTTTTTGTCACGACTTCCGTAGTTTTGTAAACAAGTTTATATTAACTTATTTCAGTAAATTTAGGTATTTGTATAGGAATGTTGTTACATCCTTTTTGAGCAAAGAAAATATTTAGGAAGGTAGCAAACCATGAATAATTAATAAGGCAATCTTAATTACTGTCTGAAGGCATTAAAATGTGCCTTGATTTAACTTTTAAAACATTTAGCTAGAGACAGAACTGGTATAATCATCTTTGATAAGTATTGATTGAAGGTATTCCTGGAACTCGCTTATAAAGAAACATTTGAAAACCACTGATTTATTATTTGTTATTTGAATATAACTGATTTATTATTTATTATTTGAACACAGTTGATTTACCCAACAATCAAAACAGGCAGCGGTGCCGACAAATTAAAGGCTAGGACCGCTAGGTGAACTGCGATGAGTGCGAAGCGAGCAGTCTAGCCTGTCATGCGAAATCGACTGATGACTTGCGCTTGCATTTAATTCGATGATATTCAGATAGCATAAACGCAGCTTGAATGTTAACCAGTGAAATTTACGGAGCGACGAGAAAGGTTTGAGAACGAGGTGCTAGCTGCAAACATTAACTATTTTAAGACCGCAGCCACCACGCCTAGTGAAACAAAATACGATTTGACAAAAGTAATTAGAACATCCATTACCGATAGAAGCAGCAGCATTAACTGAAGGTGGAACTGCAGCATTAACATCATTACTGTTTCAGCTGTTGTTGCTGCAGCTGTATAACAGCGAATAGACGGATAACTTTTCCAATGTATTTTTGTGCACCAGAAAACACAGTGCACCAGTGTTTGGCTCTCTCTTTTTCAGAATTTAGAAATGCCTTTTATTTCATATACTCTCTGGAGTCGAGTTAACTCTTTCTAATTAATTATACGAACGACAATCAAAGCAAAGATGAATCAGAACCTCTTATGGAGATGACTAGCGAAGTGGACTGCATGGGCTTGGATGGTTCTTTTGATCTCGGGTTAGAAGAACCTAACGGCTGGTTTTCTACTCCGGAACTTTCGGAGTGAAATATATACAAAAATAATGAATATTAAATTTAAATTCAATAGAAGATGACTGAATTTCCGACTTCAGTTATTAACCATAACCAATTTCAACGAATCAGGAAAATAAGAAAGGATTTTCTACTAGAAACTGAACAGGCTTTATTTAAGTTCAAAGGATGGATCAACGGCTGGCTCGGCTCGGTCATCCATGGCTGGCCATGAACATCACACGGTTCACACCTGCCGGTAAACAAACCCAAACTTGAGAATTGGTTGAATACAGTACATGGCTAATTAATATCAGTGTTCAAAAAAAAAATCGGTGGAATTCACAAATTATAAACGGTCCAGTGCCAAAGGATCATCCAGGTTTTGAGAAATTGGCTGGGAGCGAGGTAAGCTAGGTTCTGGCCAAGAATCAAGCCTCACCTCTGAAGTCTCCGTAGCTTCAAGGAGTGTAGCGCCACCGTGACCACAGCTGCCGAGCAGGAGAACTTCCGAGTTCCAGGTAGGGGAACCACGCTCTCGTCGAGCCACCACAACGTCAGATCAAGAGGAGAGCAGGACCGCGGCCGAGGTAAGATGCTGCAGGTATGCCTTCCAAAAAACTGCTAGGCAAAACAGGTGAAGCGGGAGCACGTGCTGTTAGGCTGGTGAAGGAAATATGACTATTCTTGCTGCAACGATTCTTCCTTGGGTTCGGCTTGACACCGGCCAGAAAAGCGGATTATTTATGACTACCAAATTTAAAATGATTTTCACCAGATTTTTGTACAAAATACATGATTATGAACGATGACAAACCATGGTAGGTTTGTTAAATGGTTGACAACGGTATTTCGTAGGCTTTTCGTCACTACAGCGTTTACAAAAATGGATGCACTTGAGTGCATCGCCCCTTTTATACTCATGGGCTAGCATTTCAAGGCCGACAATATGCGCTCAAATTGAACACTGGTATCGCTTTGGGATACACCAGCTACCAGCTCTCCAACCCTTCGTCTGAAACTCGTCGCTGTTACATATAATTGATGACATGGCTAAGAATTCGACTGAGAAGCTGCTCTACTAGGGCAACACTAAATTTAATTATGTTAAACTCACTTATGTTGTCAAAGGTCATTTAGAATAACTTCATACACATTTAATATTTGTTCTTTATGTGTTGATAGACCTCACTGCTGAGCGAGCGTCGAACAAAGTTCTTCGCTTCTAGTCACATGCGTTTCAAATTGCGAAACAAAACGAATTTAATTAAATGTTGCGCCACCATCTAAATTTTGTGCCCTTGAAACCACAGTTTATAAATACCACTGTTGTGCATGAATACAACATTGTAATTATCACTGTTGTACTTAGGTACCAGCGTTTTTAGCGCATTTTTTCATTTATGGAAAAAATGCACTATTGTGCTCGCCATGTCCGTCTGTCTGTCTGTCCGTCCGTCTGTCCGTCCGTCCGTGACCTCAAGTTTTAGTCGACGAGAAAATGCGCTCTCTGTCACTCACTGCAGTGAGTACTGAGTTATATTTTTTTATATATTTCTCATTCCATCTTCAATGTTTACGTGAACGTATATGTCGCCTAATGTAAAATCTTTTGTAACTCCAATTCAGAGCAATGTTAGTAGCGTCCCTAAAGGTTCCACAGGGCATAGGTTCTTGATTTACATTGATGACCGCCATATTTGGTCATTCATATTAGCCTTCCGCCTAAATTGAAGTAGATGGTTAATTAAAAATTGTTTGCATTGTACAACTTTAAGAAATAGTATGTTCATAAAATGTAGTTGATAAATACATTCAACTTATAATATTGATTATTTTAGTTATATCCAATCCAATGTATTGAAATATAATCCTTTCGCTCGAACAAAAGGTATCGATCATATTTAATTGGTGGGGATAACATTATTTATTGTCCTAGATTATGTCTGCAACGGGTTTTAATATTAGTTCGTTCAGTTGCATTCGACAGAGCAAAAAAAAAAAAAAGCTTTTTTCTCGCTGTAAACAACATTTTAAGGTTTAAAAATTTATGCTCTCATGCTATAATGTCTATGCGTCGAAAAGAGTCTTCATTAGGCCACTTTATGTATTCACGACAATGCGTTTTTTGCAAGATCGAATGTGGAGCCACCAAAGCATTTTCGTACGAGGACGCCTTATTAGACGCCTGCATGTATATAGACGGTCTAAAATGCCCCACGAGCTTCTTATTCTCTGGCGGAAATGAAAAACGAAACTTCGAGCACAAAAATTCAATGGCGATGCTGGGCTAAACATTTGCGTTCATTTGAGCTTCCATTCCAATTTAAATGTGGGCCTAATGGCACTTACACTTAGATGACGATAAGTTCTGGACGCACTGGTGTATTTCTCACTGGCGCCTGCGGAGTGTGGCCTTTCACCCTCGAACAGCAAAGACTAAGGGCCTATGCTTTTTGCAAAATTTTCCGAGCTTGCTAGCTCGACAAAAATTTTTTCTACTAAGCTCAGAAGTTGAGGTCACTCACTCATGCATTCTTCCTTTAATTCTGTGACTTGTGAACAAAATGTTACAAGGGGTTCAAGATAGTGTGACCGAGGCAATATTGGTTGTGGTCTTGTGGACATGGCTAGGTTAGAGCCAGCACTCGGTTGGAGGAAATCGTCGCTTCGCAGGAAGTGAATCTTAATTATTGATGAAGATTGATTGGAAAAAAATTGATCAATGACAGAGCATGGCTGAGGACAAAATTTTAGTGGACGCATAATTGCTTTAGCTGAAAATGATTGTTGAAAACAATGCCTTACTCTAGCCAACGCTTAATTGCATTCAAAGCTCAAATGGAGAAATTTTTTTTTTGTTGGCAAAGCTCAATTGATGACAAACATTGATTAAAGGTATCCTTTAGTTATAGTTAATGACAAAATTTGTTATACCTGAAACTTGGCTGAAAGCAAACCTTGGCTGGAGGTTAACTCTTTTAAATGGGAGGGCAAAACCTATATATTTAGCCTCAATGGAATTAAATAAGTGAAAGTTTTCATATGAAAAATCACAAGTCAACAGAATTCAAATTAAAAATTGTTAAATCTGGAATTACTTGAAACGAACATAATTTTTGCACCAATATTCAATTTTCACATCAAGGCTGATCGTTCAAAAATTTTCCAATGTAGTGGAAATCACACTTTAAAAGATTCCTCAAAATGTGGTGCCTAACCTTTACCGTTGATATTATTGATTTACTATTAGTTATTATATAGTTTAGGTTATTTGAACTAAATTTTTAGTTTCATTTTTTACGACGATATCTATACCATTGATATATTGACAAAAAAGCGCAGTTGCGCACAATCAAAACCAAATTGTAGATTAAGTAGCTATATTGTGAAGCTATTTGAAGATAATTATCAATAAGGCTTTTTGATCTTCTAAGGATCGGATTTGTTTCAACCGGGGGTCCACTCGTATAATTAAGAAGTTGATGGAATATTTCAAAAGAACGAATATTTAAAAATGTGCAAATTTCACGCTTGAATATTTTCCGTAATTCAAGTCCATGCCCAAAATTACGATTCGTGTGCCATTTCATTCCATGACGCCCGACATAACATAACCACCCAGCACTCGAAAGCTGCAGGCAGTGGCGCTCGGCCTTTACATTGCGTCTAAATTATTAGGAAGGTACCGCCTGAAGGTTATAAGGGCTCTCGAGCAGCTATGTCCAAGTTTCCGTTCACATTATACCGGCCGAATCCAGAACTAGTTGCGCAGTGGGCAGGAACTATAAAATCCCCGTATCCACACCACTGCTTGCAATCTCTTTCGGATAGAGGCTGTTGAACGCATCATTCTTCTTGCCGATCAAGCTGCTGCCTTCCAGTGAAACGAATACATTTGTTTATCAAGGTGCTTGCTAGTGTTCCTTAATTAATATTTTTTTAATAGGAAGAAGTTTAAATCGAAATTTAGCTGTGAAGTGACAACGTTTTGATGCGTGATCAGAGAGTATACTATTTGTATCCAATGAAATAACGTCATACTTCTATGCAAAGGCTGTTGTTCGGCAAGCTCGTTAATTTGTATTAAGTCCCGCATCGAGTAAACAGTGCATCGAAATGAAATTCTTTCTGGTGAGTAACTGCAAAACATTTGAAATTATAAAAGTTTCTCTGAAGTCGAAATATTCTACTTGAATATGTAGAAAAAAAGTTGTAATGCGTAATATTTCTTTTATTTACTAGCAGGGGAATATTATGAAAAACTTGATTGTACATTTTAAAATTTTTTTTATCCAGCTGGTGAAATAATTTATTAATTATTTGCCAATTTTAATTATGTAAATGTAACTACAGATTTACGTGGTTGTGATGGTAGTGATGCTGGCGCTGGTGAGCGCAGCTCCCCAGCTCGTCAAAACCAGGCGAAAATTCCCCGGTCAGCGTCGGCTGGGGGCCACAAACTACGGCCAATATTCTATTGGCAAACGAGGATACGAAACGAGGTACTAGTTCAACCTATTAAACTTCAATTATTTAATACACATACTCAAATATTTCACTCCTTTCAAATGTTAGTTATTATTTGTTATGTTCTGTTTGTCATTTGGCTTATTTTAGGCTGAATGCTGAAGTTTATTGTTGCGCGGGAAGTAGGCTAACAGTTCAGTATTGAGCATGCGGTCACGAGTAGCCGGAATTATTGATGCCAAAAACATTATTTACTGTAATATTTCAGGTAGCGGCTTCTTAACGTTTTGGAAAAAATTTCAATAAGAGTCATAATATATTATATAAAGATAGCCCAATCGAACAAGTCCGTTTAAGCAACCGAATCAGAAGAAGTGAAAACAGGAAAAACTTTTCGAGAGAAAACTATTGAATTGTTTTTAATTTTTTAAAATTGTGATGATAATTCTTTAACGATAACAATTATCACCGTATAATCATTTGATTTTTTATTTAGCTTGTTTCTTCGTTTTGTTTGCATAATTTTACCTGATATTTTATTTCGAGTCGTGGGAGGCATGGACAGATCCAGGAGGGGAGAAAGAGAAACATTGTTGAAAATTTGGATGATTTTAATCCAGTTCATTGAAATTGTATTCAAAGTTGCATAATTTTTATATCCCCAAATGATTTGGAATTGAAATTAAATAGTAATCCATGGTAAACATTTCAGTTTTAAAGATGAAAACTCGAAAATATTATTCTAAATTAAAAAGACATCAATGGAATTGTGGACAGCAGACATATAAAAATTGCAGCACCTAATTCGGGTAATGGCGCGTTCACCTATTAGATGAGAGAGGGCGTATGGAAAGTTAGTTTACAAACATTTTTTTTTTCTGAAAACTGCAGAATTATTTAAAACATGCTACCTGCACCACAGGCTTATGATTGTTTCACCTTTTTCGCATATAGTGGCTCATGACTTTCAGCTTTATCAGCAAAGTGAGAGATTTTTTCCGCGATGATTTTTAAATAACAATGATTTACCAGATGCCTGTTGTAAAATCAAACTGAAATTGCAATTGTTTTCATCCTTGCAGAAAGTACTGAAGAAGGGAAGAACCACTCAACCTAACCTGACCCATCTGTCGCCGATGACTCGTTTCATCAGCAAGTTTCCTTCGCCGTGTCGTGAATCCTCCAGAAAGTGAATGCCTATAGCTTCAGAGAAAGTGTTTTTTTATATTTTTCCAGTTTCAGTTATATCTAATGGAGCATCGGATGCGTACAGTGAGATTGTTTAGTTCACGTCACAAGAAGTCTAATATTACATAGAGTTAATCAGATTCCTAAATTTCTACTCTAAGCTGGGTGGAGGTTACAAGTTATTTCAAAGACAAAGAGAGTCCAGTGGCTTATTACGGAGCCCTTACAACGGAGAGAGTCCTGTGGCTTATTACGGAGCCCCTTACAACGGAGAGAGTCCTGTGGCTTATTACGGAGCCCCTTACAACGGAGAGAGTCCAGCGGCTTATTACGGAGCCCCTTACAACGGAGAGAGTCCAGCGGCTTATTACGGAGCCCCTTACAACGGAGAAAGTCCTGTGGCTTATTACGGATGCCCTTATTACGGCGAGATGGATACGGGTGCCGCTATCACAACGAATTTTCATGATGAGGCTTGTCATTACAAGAAGAAACGGCAATTTTACCCGATTCTGCCAAGTCTTCAGATACCAAAGTGCATGCAATAAACGAACTTAGTACCTAATTTGTTTATGAATTCTGAATAGCGTGATCTATACACCTAAGCCATTTTCAAAAAATAAATTGTTTAATATATATTGTGCCAGGCATTAGCGAAATATTTATTAGCGCTTTTAATTTTTTATGTTAATTTTAGTCTGTTATATCAATTACTTTGTTTATTCAAATTAAATTATTACGTTTATTACTCGTAAGCTTTTTAAATATCATTGAAATAACTTCGTTAATGGTTGAGTTATTGGTATGATCCCATAATAACCTGCAGGGCTCAGGATGTATTTAGGACATGCCCATTGGTTGTATTTTTGTTGAAGATCATTTTATTTCAGTGTATAATTCGATGCAGCTGAACTAATGCCATGCAGTTGAAGCGTAAAATTTTATCCTCGTCAGCTGCAATGAGGTTCGTTCAAAGTTTATATTTTCACCTTAACACTTAGAATTCAAAATCAATTTTGGGGGCTTTCAAAGGAAAATCAGAAGCCTCATAAATTTGTTGCAAATCACTGCTTTTATATGATGATGTTACTCATAATTTTGTAACAAAGCTGACAAATTGATTTCAATAGTTACGAAATGAATTAGTATATTACAATAATTAAACAGTTCTGGTGTAGTCTTTCATTAACATTCCACAGCAGAATGATTGACTGTATTTTGTGAGAATTCAGTTTCATGACGTTAAAAAAAATTTTCTTGAATTTTTCGGAGACTTACACTGTACGATAGCGAAACATTTTTCTCTTTAGTTATTTGGTGAATTTTTAAAAGACAATGCCACGGTGCAAAATATTCGGAAAAGTTTTTGATAACCAGCCCAGTGTTGATGAAATTACAGCAAAGTACTATATTTTGATGCATTCTTGGATGCAAATCAAGTCTCTGATGTCTTGCCTGAACCTTCTTTCCACGATAGTAAAAAATAAAGATTCGGAGCATCAAGACGCAGTATATCTACGCTCAGTATATGAAAGAGTTTCTCGCTTTATACACGTACGTACACTTAATCGCCCATAGGCTTACGCGATGCTTTAAATTAAATTATTATTGGTTTGGTATTCTTGATTTACAAATAATAATTTTTACAATACGAATCCAAGAGGCGTTTATGTTCGTATTAACGTTTATTATTTTCAGTGCTACTTACGAAAACAATTATGGTTTGTAGTTGCGAACAACAATCTGACTGCGAGTTTTTTTTAATCTCGCTGTTCTATTTTTTCCTATAGCAATGGCCGAAACTTGTAGTTGACGGGAAATAAGCCAAGAATTTATGAATTACGGTCTATAATATTTTAGAAAGTAACTCATCTCGAGGCATGGCTGAAAAGATACTACATGGGTATCGATATAATATTTCTACAACGCTTCCCTTACGAAAAGTTGTTTTCATAAACCAAGCACTCACTGCCTTAAATACCTCGTACACGCTAACACACTTCGCCAGTTCTACTCATCACACCATACGACCTCTCACTCACCGTTCTCTTTAATTCTTAACAAACGCTCCCCATCCTACTCCCTTTCCTACGAGAGGGAATATAGGAAATTATCTGTCTCCTATTTATAGGAGATATTTGAATGCTTCCTATAAATGAGCCCATTAAAGGAGGTCGAAGCATTCGACCTCTTATTGCCTAACATAAAAGCGCAATAAGAGGCTCCAAGTGACTACCAACTTAAGTGTAAGAAAATTTTGCAAGGAAATTAATGCTCAAGAGACGTTTACTTGTACACGTACATGTTGGTAGTATTTAGCGAGAAATCCTTTTCAGGCAAAAATGTTACTAAAGTCTAATTTTTAGAGAACAATTCTAAAAGATGTTTGCGTGGCATTCGAGAAACAGAACCTCCTACACTAGTAATGAACGATTTAGCTTTCGTTCATTCAGTTTGAGTACAGATGTCACTGAGTACTCTGTATATACTTTACTTTATCATCAAGTAAAATTCCCCATTTGACAAACACGAATGAAAAATCACAGGCCTCAACATAATATTCTTTTATTCTGTATTCATATATAGGTAAAGTTTCGGAAAAAGTCGTTGGTAAAGCTTACCGGAAAAATTGCAATCATATATAGCAAACTTTACGAACTTTGAGAACATTACCGTATAATTCAATAAAAGTTTGTTTGTATTTAAATAAATAATGGATTTCATGATATAGTTTAACCTAAAATTTCTACTTAAATATTTTCGTTTTGTGGGCAAACTACTGTCGCAAGAAATCGGAGACGTGAATAACTGCATGTCAAAATTCGCTAAAAACGCAACGCCGTCATCTGGTAACGCGGGAGACGCGGCAGTGGCAGTTCTTCAGTTTTAAATATTTTAACGAACGTTTTTCGCAATTAAACTGATATGAGGCGAATGCGTAATGATGGCAGTGTTAAATATTTCCAGTCCAAAAATTTAGTATGACCGAGTATGTGATACAACAAATTAGATTTAATGATAAATCCGAAGGGTGTTTTTCTCAAGCACTTCGCAATCCATTTTTCAGTAATTAATCACTTTTCTAATTTTTTGCTGATGTACACTCGTATCCGGTGAGGATGAAAGTAGGACAAAAATTATTTATTGAAATTTTCATCTGTATTACAAAATCAAAATCATCCAAATACATTAATTTATCTATAACTATAATGACCTCACACAGTAAAAACAATTGCTTCTTTTGGTTTTAAATAGCATAGCAACGGCCATTGATTTCAAACGCATTAATACAAGGCAATTTTGAGCATTACAAATTATCATTAGGGCGGTGTTGACCAAAATATCTACTGCAACACTCAATAGACGAATAATGCGTATTATTATAAACGGTGCATAATTTATTATATGTATTATATATCAGTTTTTCAAAGTTGAATATGTACAGAAAACACTAATTATAATAAATATTAAAGCTTTGAATCATAGGAATTGCTAACCACACGAATGAATACATTGAACAATTTTCATAATAATTGCGTAGCTTAAGAGTATGTATCACATATTCGTATATTTATGAACGAATTAGGTACTCATTTATTAGCTCACTGCTTAAGCAACAAGTTTTTGAAAATTTGACTTTATTGGATCGCAGAGCGCGAATTTTTCCTGTTTTTGGCTTGAACAAAATGGTATCATTAATGTGGAGTGGCCTCGGATATAGCGCATTAGAAGTCGAGCATTTAACTCGGTAGGAATAGTGAGTATATGATTACATAATTGTATTGGTGAGAAGTAAATTAGTGAACGCTTTCTAATTGCGAGTAGAAACTTAAAAATGGTATTTGGTTAACTTTACCTCGTGTTCAACTCATTTCAAAGTGAGCGAAATATTCTCAGTATGAAGTCTACAGTTCCAACGATACTGTATGTATAACTAGTATAACTAGTAACTAGAAACGGTTCAAAATATATATTTTGTCTTACCTCAAGCAATTAATTTCTTCAGAATTAGAAATTTTTTTGACCCCTAACATTCAGGTTTTTGTAAATTAGACTTTTCCTCCGACCCTAAGCAATCAAGTCCTTGAGAATTCAAGGCGCGGACGGAAGTTTGCTGCTGGAAAGAGTCATGTGTGACGGGAGCGACATGTCAGGCTCCAAGGATCTTCGAGCATTAGGTTCTTCTGCACAAAAAGTTATATTCAGTCAATTCAAATATTTCAAGTTTGTTAACTAAATTATTTCAACATAACTAACTTAAAAAATATATAAAACATCGTTCATTTGGAAACGACCGTTAGTGTAATGTTGGTGACGTGTATCACTGAAATGTGATAATTATACATTTAATTATGAATTAAAATATTTTACTATTAATTAGCGACCAATGATTTTTCAACAAGTGAAGTGATAAACCATTCAGGAACAAGAGAAAAAATTATAAAACTTCTGGCTTTTAGATCATTTTGAATTATCCGTTTGAATAACAATTAATAGGAAACCGTAAACTGGGTCAAGCTTTTCATTTAGTGTTTAAAATATTTACAATAACAGTGATGTATGATGTTCAGTGTCGCAATGTATCTCGTTTTCGTATTGTTTGATCATCATTAAAAAATTATCTTAATTACAATGATTTCCTTCCAAAATGGGTTTTAATATCTCCGGTTACTTCAATTAATTTGTTGTGACAGGTAGTGCCCTTCTAACAAAGTTAACAATTGACCTAATGCTGAATTAAGCTCAAATTTACATTGCATTTTTGCTATATAGTTTTTAAAAATTTATAAACCACTACCAGACAGTGGAGTCAACAATGACAACGCATAACCAGAATGGCATGGCCTGATTAAATTATTTGAACGTTGTGGAGTTACATTTGCTGCACTGAAACATTTCAAAGAATGAAATAATTGCCCATAAATTCCTGAGAAGGAAAGAAGGTAATCACAAATGTTTCAAAGTAATGAACTGTTTGAATGTGTAAGATTAATAATTTTATATTTATTGCATTATGCAATATTGATCCTACGGAAAATATACATTATTACATTTATTATGCAATAAATGTAATAAATAAATATAATAAGTAAATATATTATTATAATATAATATTATAATTTATATTATAATATAAATATAATAAATAACCTGTTTTTGAATCCTCGTTTGCCGAAAGAATGTAGGCCGTAGTTGGTGGCCCCCAGCCTACGCTGGCCAGGAAACTTCCTCTTGCTGGTGACGAGCTGGGGAGCTGCACTCACCAGCGCCAGCATCACCGCCATCACCACCACCAAAATCTGTAATTACATGGACTGCTGTAATTACAACTGTCTATTATAATTGGTAAAAGATTTAGACATAAAACGAGGTCTTTACAAATCAACTTCTTCAACGCTGAATAGCTTCAGACAACTTAATTTGTAAAAAATCAACGTTGAGTTGGGGCAAGCGGCAGCGGAGAGAATTTCTTCTTATGTACGTCTTTGAAGAGAAAAATTTTACAGCGCATGGTTATGTCGTCACCACCACCAGTTTTCATTTAAATAATCTAAATATCCTTTAGCCTCTCATGAAATGTTGAAACATGAAATGAGATTGGAAAGAAGATACGAGTGGGTTAAAAAAATATCTATTATCTTCTTAAAATCCTAATAATTGTCAGCTATTATAAATTTTAATTTTCAGCATCGATGTGCTCGTTCTCGTACCAAGCAAAAAATAATTGTCATTATCATTGCATTAAACAATATCAAGCGAAACGTAAACAATTAAGGAGTCAAATATACCATTGCTTACGCTAGTACGTCAATGCTCATGGTTTGTAGCTTACCTGATAAAAGTTCATCTTGCTCGGTTATGCTATACGGTGTGGGGCTCGGTTTTTATCTGTAATAAAAAGGGTTCGCATCAAACACGCATACTTTAAATAGAAGAGTTATTTAATATGATGCAAAAAACTCCAACATATAACAGTTGTGGCTGCAATAACATTGTGATTTTACGGCACAAAATCCAATTTCACAATAAATTAGTAATTATATCTGTTATTCCCTTGAAACAATATAACATTAAGTAAGTTTCAACACACCTTGTTAAACAAATAGATTTTTCTTCTAGGACAGAGAAAAGATTTGTTGAGAGGAGGTGCAGAGATTGATGCGTTCTATAGCTCGTGTCAGAAGAGATTGGCGAGAGTTGCGTATCGTGGAGGTCTTATAGTTTCCTGAACTGACACACTCTGCACTTCAAATACCGGAGTAAGGCGGAAGAATCAGGACGTTAACTTGATTAGTTTAATCGTCTTAGCAACTCATGTGCGCTAGTAACCTTCATGAACTGGGTCCATATGTTCGATCGCAACATAGCGGACGCACGTCAGTCATCATTTAACGGCCTTCGGTCGCTCGAGAATCATGCGTACCGTGATGAACAGCACGCACACAAATCTCCTCTTTTCGGCAAGGAATAACGTTTTGAAGAAAATATGAGCGAGATAATTGTAGCACTTAAATTGATATATGTATATTGATAAATTCTTGTCGATTGCTGGTCGATTGCCCACAAATGAAACACGATGAGCTTATGTACGCAATATTTCTTAAAAATTGCATTCGTTAGGATTATGAGTGATAATAAGCCACTGACTGAAAGTGCCAGCAACCCTATTAATTAACAACTTATTTCCATCTGAAAATTAATTGAGAGAAAGAAGCAGATAATGTCTGTGCGAGCAATATCTAGTGTACCTATATTTATTCAGCTCTCCATAAAATTCCTGTGAAATTAAATTTTTGTTAGCAATAATGTCCGGCAATATAGTTCTGCATCATTTATAATGATTTTCGTCCGAATTAATGTTAACATCATCGCACGTTCGTGCGCAAAATTCTACTGCTTAAGGGGATCGGCTACCATAAAATTTGAAAATTTTGAGTTTTTCTGTTTCTTATCTCATCTTAAAGGTTGTTTTCTTGCGCATCGAACGGTATAAGTATCGTCCCTGTACGTCGAAAAATGACTTTGTGACAGCTCCTCAAAGGGAGGCGGGTTTTAGGTCCCTTAACAAAACTATACGAGGATAAATGACGCGCTGGTCACTCCACAAAGGAAGGCCTGGCATTAAGCAGCCAATCATGGCACTAAAGTGGGCATAGTCTTGTTTGAAAGAGCACTTTCTTACGCATCGATTGGTGGTACACCCATCTTTGTACCTCTATTTTCTACTTCACCACGCCCCATAGAACGGGGGGGTGGGGGTGGGGGCGGCCTATAGTAATTCCTAAGGCAATAATTACGGGGCGTGACTACTAAAACTGCGAGCTGAAGCCAAACCTCTCAGTGCCCATCATGACAGCGACGTGAAAGGTGTGCAGCCAGTTGCTCCATGCCTTTTAGAGTCAATAGATATGGTCTTTACGAATCGATTGATACGTGTCTCGATGTTGTAGGATGATATTTGTGGGAGGAGATAGATTTTCTAAAGTACCCCTTTTTAGCCGTTTTCTATGAATTTCACGTTTTCGATCAATTTTTTCGAAAAATTTATACGAGCAAAATGTTTTTCTTTTTACATTTTACGTGTGTATGTGAAGTTTCATGACAATCGGATAATAACTGTAGAAGTTTTCCGTAGGGGTAGCCGATCCCCTTAACAAATTCAAAATGGTTGCCTGAGTGTAAGTCAACCATCAGTCATGTAATGAGTGGAAAAAGAGCTTCATGCTGAATGAAAATGGACTTCCCCGGATTGTTTATCCAATGAACATGAGAAAATTAGATCAAATCAAACATGTTAGAATTAAACAAGAGAAATTCATCTTGATCAGAGCTTATTCATATGTAAATTTTCCTTTCATACAAAGTGTCGTGATTGAGGGACAAATATAATGTAGTCTAAGGAGAGTGTGAGTGTATTAACGATGCTCGTATGGGAAATTTCTCTAATCGATTGTTTGGAGATACGGTGTGCATGGACCGTAAAATAGAGGAGTATTTGGTAATAATTCGAGGAATCCATTGTGAATATTTTCACGTGTTCGCAACGATGCCGATATTAATTAAATGACACTGAAAATAACTCAAGCAGAAGAAAGAATTATTAATGTTGCCTTAAAATTGAGCTAATATTTCTGAAAATCCTGCCATTGTTTTACAATTTTCCCGGAAATACATAACATCTAAGAATAAATACTTCTACATGTACTTCCAAAATGTGTTTGCAAGGATTGTTCACGCTTTTAGTAGCAAACAATTTTTGGAAATACATTTTATGAATTTGAAATGATGAAAAATCTCAGACTATATATATACGTAGCGTTGTCAAATGCGAGCTTTAGTAAACGTAGTAAACTTATTTCAGAGGTGGGCAGAGTGCATCTTAGAATGCTGTTCTGGCGTAAATCCTCACATACAAGAATTACTGAAACACAATACCTTTCCTCCTCCACTTCATCCCAGCTCATTCCGTGGCGACATTTTCACTCTCATTCATTCCTTCTCTAGTATTTCTTCAACTACCCTTATCAGTAAACAATAAATAGAATTAGAGAGTAAAATTCAAATGCCGCTAATGAATTAGAATCAAGCGACTAGTGAATTCTTTTTCTTGCTCATGTGCAACTTCTCAAAAGTAAATAAAGTAAAGTAATTTGTGTATGAAAGGATTCAGCTAAAAATATTTTTAATTCAATAGTAATCAAGTTGATATAAAATTTATTAGTAACGCAAAATAAAGGAAGTTGCAATGCGGAAGGTGTTCGTCGATAGGTTGTTGTGCGATGCGAAGCTCGAGTGGAGATACTTAGTGTTGAGTCACGACTCGTCTTATTAAATTTCGAAATGTAAATTGACCTAAATCTCTGTAAATATTTTGTTAGTTATCTCTGTCAGGTCCACAGTGGGGCCTCTTAAAAAAAGTTCATGTCCTTCCTGGAGACGATCGACCAGGGCATGTGCGAATTGCTAGAAGTGCAGTTTGAAAAGTATTCAGCAACCCCCGATACTCATAACTGCCAAGGAAATATGCTTGAATATGCTCATTCAAGAACTGCCAAGGAAGCGAATGCTGATGACCATTGATTTTGAAACACCGGACCTAGAGAGGAGTATAAAAGAATTATCCACTTATTCGGCTCCTGGACCAGATGGGGTCCCTGCTGTGTTAATGAAAAAATGTTTAGGTGCACTAAAAGCAAGTCCCTCCGACTTGGTTCTCGAAAACATCAATGAGCGAATGAAACTTTCCAAGTGGCCTAAAATTAGGGCTAATAACCCCAATCTACAAAGGAGGTGCATGAGAGAAACCCCAAAATTACAGGCCGGTTACATTAACATCACACGTAATCAAAGTATTTGAGAAAGTTGTTGACAGAAGGTTGGTGCAGTACATGGAAGACGCTGACCTTTTCAACAGAAGGCAACACGGTTTTAGACGAAATCGTTCCTGTTTGTCTCAGTTACTGGAGCATCACCACCAAATCCTGGCCATGCTGGAGGAGGGGGCCGGGGTGGACGTACGTGGTGTATTTGGACTTCGCGAAAGCGTTTGACAAAGTCGACCATGGAGTGCTCTTTGGAAAATTAAGACTACTAGGGGCCAGAGGTGAGTTGTTGGCATGGATCCACAACTTCCTAACTGAAAGACTATAAGCTGTCGTTGTTGGAGGCTCGGAATCGAGCGAGGCCAGGGTGAAGAGTGGAGTACCGCGGGGAACGGTGCGCGGCCCTAAACTCTTCCTCATCCACATTGCTAACACAGATACGGCAGTGAACCACGCCTCTGCAGCGTCATTCGCGAACGACTCCAGGATACTAATGACTATTACGGGCAGGTTAGACTGAGAGAGGTTGCGAGAAGACCTCTCTGTAATACATGGCTGCGCGCAAGCGAACAACAGGAAGTTCTATGGAACCTGATTTGAGGATCTGAAATATAGAGGTAACGGAAGAGCTGGTATGGAGCACCGCTATCTGGCACCTGACGGCTCGGAAATCGGAGAGAAACGACTTATTGGCGATCTAGGAGTGTTGATAAATACTCAGGTCAAGTTTATTGATCACATAGCGACAATAACCGCAGGAGGTAGGCGACAGATGGGGTGAATCTGGTGGACGTTCAGAACAAGAGAAGCGGAACCGATGATCGCACTCTTCAGAGCCCTTGTTATATCTCTCGTTGAATACTGCTGTCAGCTCTGGAGCCCGTTAACGCTCGGCGCAGTGCGACAACTGGAAGGTGTCCACACGAACCTTCACTTCCAGGATCAGAGAGATGGAGGAGTTTAACTACTGGGAGAGGTTGCAGCGAGTGGGTCTGTACTCGCTGCAGAAGATACGGGGGAGTTATGTCATTCTATACACACGGGAAATAATAACCGGAATGGCACCAAACTTTGACAACGAGACCGACAGAATTGAAATATGCCATAAAGACAGATGGAGAAGACTGTGCAAGATTCCCCCACATATGAAACAGATCCGCGGTCAGATTTCAATTCCTGCTCGACGGATCTCTTTCCGTGGCAAGGCCGAGGCTGTTTAACGTCCTACCAAAAGATCTAAGAGAGGATCATTTCACACTGGAGACCTTCAAGAGACGACTGGACGTGTTCCTGGGCATAATCTCTCATTGCCCGCCCTGCACCACTACCAGTGGCGAGAAGCATGCGTATCGCCACTCGCTGGCGATACGCTAATTCTAATTCTATGTTATTGTTGAGGTATGTGATTGTGCGTCCAATTTAGATCTGACAACGTAGAGCATGCTCAAGAACTGGGAAATATTTTAGCAATATTACAATAGTGCGACTGCCCTGGAGCGCGGCGAGAAAAATATGAACGAATATAAATGAATGAATAATTAAAAAAAAGAATATAAACGAATCAGTATGAAAAAATTACGAGAAGCCACTGTGCACTTGCCTAGTCAGAAAGAATAGAAAAATAACAGTCTTTCTAGTTCCGGTTGGTTTTTTCATGCAATAACATACTATAAATGACACTAAGCCTTTCACTAAACATAGCAGTGTATTTATTATATAACGGCAAAAATACGGTGCGAATTTCACGCGTGTCTGTTCAGTCGTCTCCGACTATCTACATGCAGAAATCTAATGGTAAATGTTAAAATTCTAAAATTAATTGCAAAAGCTCCTCAAATCGACTGTTAAAGAAACCCTTGATAAAGTATTATTTAATCCAAGT